TTAGTTGCTTCAAAACATGGGAAGCCCGAAGCACCTTCGAAACCCGAACCACAAACTTTTGATGACTGCATGAATAAACTAAAAATGCTTGGATGGACAGAAGATGACCCACTCTACGGAGTTGCCCTCGCAATCTTTTGTGATCCCAATGATCTTTATCGCGAAGCATGGATGAAAATTGATGTGAATCTCCTTCCAAATTGGGTCAAAATGATTGGGAAGAAATTAGGGTTTATGTAGGTTGTTAAATTGTCGTGCGTTTGTTTAAACGTATTCAGGACTACATTTGGTATTTATGACTCTTGTTTGTTTTTTGGATGAATTATGACTCTTGTTTGTATTTTTATGGGATTGTTATTGTATGTTTTTGTGACACTTCCTAGAATTTGTGACATCAAGAATGGAATGTTTATTTATAAATATTTAATTTGTACTTTTTTGCTAGGTTAATATGGATCTTGAGGCGCAACTACTAATCCTAATGCTTGTGTATTATTATGTGAGGCGAAGAAGTTCTACTCTAAGAATGAAAAGAATACGAGATAACACTTCTGCATTAACCGGACATGCTTACACACAAGAGTTATTAGAGGGTTCTAATACACAATGTGTGGAATTAATGCGTGTTTCTCATGCTGGGTATGTACTATTATGCAACCATTTTAGACAAAGAAATTGGTTGAGTGATAGTAAGCATATAAGTGTTGAGGAAAAGATGGCGATATTTTTGACAACCATCGGAAATAATCAGAGGTTTAGAGTGAATAAAAGGAGATTCCAACACTCCACACGAACTGTCCACAAATGCTTTCATGAAGTTCTACAAGGAATGATGGAATTTGCAAAAGAAATGATAGTACCAACAATGCCTGATTCAGTCCTAAATTTGTCAAACCGGCAAAGACGTTTGAGAGAGATTTTTCCGGTATGTTTTCATTTTACATTCGATTCATACTTATGTGTAAAAATTATGTGCCGAACTTTTCATTATGTTATGAAGGGAGCGATTGGAGCACTAGATGGAACTCTTGTACACGCAAGAGTGTCTGCTGAAAAGCAAACTATTTATAGAGGAAGAGGAGGGGGTCGGTGTTATCAAAACGTTTTAGGGATTTGTGATTTCAATATGATATTCACTTTTGTTTGGGCTGGTTGGGAAGGAATAGCACACGATTCTCGAGTACTAACGCAAGTAGTATTTAATCCTAATTCCGGCTTTCCACTTCCTCCACAAGGTGCGTATCATTATTTATTCTCTCACTAAATGATTTTAATTAAAATTAAAAAAATTAACACTGAAATTTGTTACAGATAAATATTATCTATGTGATGCTGCATATGCAAACACTCGTGGATTTTTAGCTCCATATCGTAACACAAGGTACTGGTTAGCAGATTATCGACGTCGTCGTGCATTGACTAAAGAAGAAAGATTCAATCATGCGCATGCACAACTCCGGAATGTGATTGAACGTACGTATGGTGTCTTGAAAGCAAGGTTTCCAATCTTAGATCAGATGGCTCCTTATCCATTTGTGATACAAAGGAATGTGGTGATTGCTTGTTTTGCCGTTCATAATTTTATTAGAAAGTCAAACATTGATGATGACTTTTTCAAAGAATGGGAAGATGACACTATAAGCCACCATGAAGCAGAAGAGGAACCCGAGGATATTGGAGAAGAAGTGCATGCAGCACAATGGGGCACACAAAGTTTACAGTATATGACGAATTTGCGGAATGAAATCGCTAATAGACTAGCAGGAAACATTTAAATTTAAAGTGTTGTTCTCGTTAAGACAAATGACTTTTTCTTATCATGTAATGCGACTTTTTTATTTTCATAATTCGTAGGCATTATTATTCTCGGGCATCTGAAATTATGTTTCAGAACAGAGAAAGTAAACAGACAATATACATTCAGCACTTGTTCCAGACAAAAGGGTTATTTGGTCATTTAACGTGATTCAGACTTCTCATTCAGCACACTTAGTAAACAATTTGTTATTTCACTGTCACTTAATCCAGACAGACAGCTTAATGCAGACAGACATCTTAATTCATTCAGGACTTAATACAAAAAAAAGTAAACAGCCCCTTAGTTTCTTATTTTGAATACTCTTCTACTACGTATTTGACAGTTTTATGTAAATCTCTTAATCTCATAGAATTGATCCTTTTAGTATCGAGTGGACTCTTGTATGATTGGTTACTCTAATGTTTCATAATCAATTATCATCCTACTTTTGCTCTAGTTCTTTCATCGAGTGTAAGTACTCATGTTTTTGAAGAATCAATCTCTCATTTTTCAATGGTTACTCTAGATCTCCGGTTAAGTAAACGATGCATTTTTCTCTTTTTCGTACTCAATTTTTCACCCGTTTCATTTTTCCTTGGTTAAAGGGTCAAATATGCCCATGTACCGGTCGTGCAAGCTCAATTCAGTCCTAAATTAAAAAAAGGTCCAATTCGCATCCCAAACCGACAAAAAATGGTTCAAATTTCATTTTTTACGAGTAAACAATCGGTCTTTTTTATTGTTTCTATTTTTTATTTTTTATATATTGCAGTTTTGACACTTTTTAATAGTTTAGGAGTGTGCATTGGACCCTTTTTACCGATTGTTTACTCGTAAAAAAAATGAAATTTGAACTTTTTTTTGCCAGTTCGGGGTGCAAATTGGACACTTTTTTTAGTTCACGGACTGAATTGAGCTTACACGATCAGTACATGGGCCTATTTGACCTTTTAACCTTTTTTCTTCTAAATATTCTTACCTATATTATTCTTGTTTTTTATATTTTGAGTATGTCTCACGTTTTTTGCATGCTCTTATTTTTTTTCTTTTGATTGAACAATAATTAAAATTAAAAGGAGTATATGAGGGTTTTTAATAATCCCGTCTTACTTTCTTCCAACAAAAAATAATCCTGTCTTACTTACGAAAAAAAGTAATACCGTCTTCAAGCACCGCAATGCCAATGAACATTATCACCACTGTTGATCAGTGTCTGTTCCACATGTGATCCGACACGAGAATGAGTTAGGATGCGGCCGCTACTAGTCCAATTACTTACTCCGTATGTATGAGACATGATTGAAATAACTTGATCATATCTTAGCGAAAGATTATTTACTTGTACTCTACTCATTAATCAAGCATGTCATGTAAATTTATTTAAATAGGCCAAACTTAGCCCAACTATGAAGCCTCTTTAGCTTAATAGGCCGGCCTATTTATATGTGTGTGTATGTGTGTGTATATATATAGAGATAGGGGGGGGGGGGTTCGAGTCAGGCGCGCCTGAACGGAAGGCCCGTGCGGCCTTCCCCTTTTGGGTGCTTTCCCGGTGGAATTTTTTGATGAAAATTTTTGAGCACCCTTTATATATGCGCAGAATGCCCAGTATGTTTCAAGAATTTATTTGACTGCCTTCCCGGTTGAATTTTGAGCTGAAATTTGGTATGGATAAACTAGACTTGATGAAGAACATGCTCAAAAAATTTCATCAAAAAATTGCACCGGGAAGGCACCCAAAAGGGGAAGGCCGCACGGGCCTTCCAGTCAGGCGCGCCTGACTCGAACGGGACTCTCTCTCTATATATATATCTATACATATATATAAACATATATGTGTGTGTGTATTTGTATATGTATATATTTACTTATATTTAAATTTATTTGTATTATTTATAATTATATATTAGTATACTTAACTATATCAAATTAGGCATAATAGTATTTTTATGGAGTATGTATTATAAATTAGAATACTAGCTATTTGAAATATCATAAGTGTGTTAATAGGGTTCAAAGTTTTTCAAGATTTGAAGAACATAAATGCCCAGAAACAGGCCCGACCCGTTTAGGCAATAACTTGACCTGGTCTGTTTCCACCCCTAACTGCGAAGTTAAGTTAAATGATTACAACATTTTTCAAGAAAACATATTTTAAATTCTGAGGGATGCATCATTTTCTTTATCAAAATGTATCATAGAATCTTTTCCATCATTTTTAATCAAAATGTGTCACGAAATCTTTTCAATCATATAAAAAAAAGCATTTTCCTTTCAAGGAAAAAAATCCTTCACGGGAGAAATGGAATCAAGGAATTGAAAAATACACCATTAAAAAATACTACCTCCGTCTCAGTGGACTTTGCCAAGTGCAAAGTAGGTGAGAAATAAGAATAGTAAAAACTGTGTAGTTGAGATTTGTGCAGAGGAGAGAGAAATGTGCAGAACCACAAATTAGTTGCTTTAATAGGAAAGTTGCAAAGTTTTTTGGGACAATCAAAAAGGAAAAATTGGCAAATTCCATTGGGACGGAGGGAGTATAGAGAAAATCGGAAACAATACTCCCTCCGTCTCACAATATTTTGTCAAATTTTCTTATTTAGCTATCCAAAAGATTTGACATTTCCATTCCTTAAAGTACTCATAATCAATACTTAGAGTCGGTTTTTAGGAGGTTCAATATGTTGTACAGAACCGAACACGCGATTTATGGAGCCTCAATTTTTTAATTTTTTTAATATCATATACCAATGTTATATATTAATACGAATGAGTAAAATACATTTGGTAAGTAAGAAAAACACAGTAATATCATTTTTCGTTGGTTCTTTTACTTCTTTTTTACTTAAATTGCTTGAGTAATTAGGTGTGTTGCTTCAAATCAAGTATTAAGTAATTTTAGAATTTTTTTTCATTACATTATTTAATAAGTATTTAATTGATTTAAGTATAAATATTTAGATTGAGATTTTTTAATTTTTATATTAATGTGGTGCCTTGATTTTACATTTGGAAACGAGGCTTATAAATTTATTAGATGACTATGTAAAACTTCTAATGTGATAAAAATTAATCCTCTCTCTACATAAATTCAAATCACAAATTTTTTACTTTTATATTATTATTATACTTGTTATGTCAAGTCAAATTTGGTCGAATTAAGTTGGTAAGCGTTTGAATCACAAATTAAAATTGGAATGAATGTAGTTTTTGGGCTGCATAGACACCTCTTCCCAAGTTCCCAACCCACCTTCTTCGCACCCTAAAGAATTGCAGTGAATTCTCTTTGCAATGAGCGTAGAGCTGAAGCGCACGCTATAGAGAAATGGCTTTCAGGGTAGCCAGTGCAAGGACCTGCTTGGGAAGTGGGTACAGTTTGGGGTTCATGTTCAACGTGCATAGATTTGCTCATGTCATTGCTCGACCGGCTCAAATGGACGGCGACATCCGCAACCCGCTGTTCACATCGCCAACTATGGCTCTGCCCGAATCTCAGGAGGGCAATGAAGGCAGCACACGATACGGATTCCAAGACATCCCTTTCTTCGAAGGCTCTATGGAACTAATGGCCGTCCCCAAAAAGAAGGTTCTTTCTCCAATAACCTTATCACCGTTGTTAATAAATCTTGTCTCACTTTCATATGTTTATACTACATTTGCTATGTTTCTGTTTTCCATTTATCATACTTGCAGAGGCAGACTGGAAAGAAGTGCTAAACTACTTAATTGCATAGAGATCCCTTTTTATTCTCAGGCTATTGGTGCATTGCCTGAGACCGGAAAGAAGTGTTAAACTAGTTAATTTTCCTCCCAAACTTTGGTACTCTATTGATCCATTCTAGTTCCTAGACTTCCTGATGATGAAATTGAAACTTTGGGTCCTTGGGTTAGAGCTTGGGGGAGAAGTGATAACAGCATCACAATATACATCAAATAATTAGAGTATAAAATGCATTAAAGAATTCCATTCTATTTATAGAAAAGTTCTAATCAATTGACCCTGTCCTCTTAGAACTGCAACTCTTCTTAAGTAATATATGTAATGGCTTCTTCTAAGATTTTTATGAATTGGCTTCCTTAGACAGTTAGACATCTAGAAGTACAGGTTTTTATGCAATGTCCTCTTTAAAAGTCCTAATCAACATAGGATAGGAATGCTGTTGATTGGTCCTGATTTCAAAAATTCATTAGTTTGCTTTTTGAATAGTAATGCTATTGATTTGTTTGCAGAATGCGCAATAACTGACACTCAGAAATTTGAATGGCCATACATCTGATCTTGTTTTATGTTTTAAGTGATGATGCTCATGTCTGATAGTGGTGATCTAAGTTACCAGAGATGCATTATACTCTATTGATCCATTCTAGTTTTATGTTTGATGCTCACTGTAAAAGGGATCAATAGGTCTCTAATATGCAATGTGGTCATAAACCTTGAAATGGGATGTTTATACTGATTTTTTTTATTCGAAATTAGTTTTATAAGTGAGGATTTTAAAACTAAAGCACCACTATGGAATTATAGGAAATTTCTGTTGTGGGACAATCGTACAACAAAGGTTTGTTTTTTGCCCTCATCTGATGAATAAAAAAGTTCACTGGTTCACTCTAAACTTAAGCTGCAAATATAAAATAAAAACCTTTCATTTCAAAGAAAAGTTATTCCCCATTTTGCTAACAAAAACACCTAGTTAGTGTTTTGCAATGATGTGCACAGTTTTCATCTTCCTCTGGTCTTCTGTGGCAGTGTCTCTTCTCTTCATATGGATTCATGCAAAGTTCATCGCCTTATCCATCTTATTTATGTCCCGTTTCTTTTTTGAGGATTTCCATAGTTTCTTATTCATTAATCTTCTTCCATTTTTAACATCCCACTCTCCCAGAGTTTTTTGGGAATTTACCCTCCCCGTTTTTCCTATTTTTTTTGGAATTGATGCTAGAACTTCACATATAGCGTTCTGAGTTCCAGAACACAACCCAAGGTGTTCTTGGATAACTGGAGGACCATGAATGGGAAAGGACAAAATGGAGCATACATTGTATGATGTGGAGAGAAATTTAAGTAACTTCGGTAGTGACTATGATGGACTGATGGTTAAGTGTCACAAGATCGAATATTTTGAGTTGGTGGCAATAGGAGATGATGTTTGGTGGTGGATATAGTCATATATTGATGCATCAGGTTGTGGTGTTCAATGATGACAACATCCATTAGTGGTGGATGTCACTTGGTGGTGTATGTGTTTGTGTTAGGTGAGGACAACATTACTAAAATAGGCGGTGGTGAGGATCCAAATTCCCGCTCCCATCTCATAGAGTAAAATAGGTTTTTTCCCCATTTTGTGTTGCGACTTTAGAAGTTGTGGTTTTAGGCTGTGTTGCGACGCGATTTTCACTATGGAAATAGTCTCTCTGTGCTTTAGTACATGTGTAAGACTGCGTACATCCGACCCCCCCTACCCTACCGTAGGTGGGAGCCTTTGCGGCCCTGGGGTAATGATGATGATTCATATTGTCAATGATGTTGTTGCATGCTTACCTTTCCTTTTTTAAGCATGGCGCCTTGTGGTTTGAGTTTGCCTATTTCACTTCTTGTTTTTATTTCTATTTTTTTCTGATATTTTGAATACGCAAACCTATTTTGGGATTTTGGAACTGTGGTGGAGCACGCAACAAGTTTTTAATGTGCAGAGTGATAGGTTCAAACCCAATCAGGCTAGTTTCAGAGAGAATAAAAGTGAAGAAAAGAGACTTGCATAACAATGGAGAAAGGCCGTATAACAGAAAACAGAATATAGGCAGTTAGAGAATGCCAGCTCCCAGTCCCAACTACTTCAATTAGTTCCAACCTTTCTAATTGAGTCTACTCCACCTCTTATTTATAGTATTCTCCCCCCCCATTTCAATTTAGCCAGCCATTTACTAATCCCCTTCCCTCTTCTAGTGTACACCTTATCAAAGTAAGTAATACTATTTTAGTATTGTTAAGTGGCTGTCTCTCTTGATCTCTATCAGAGACCAAAAGTGTTTTGTCCATTTTATGGGTCTCTGGACTTGAAACTGGAATTATGAATATCTAGTCTACTATACAAATGAGAATGCTATGATTGTCCAAGGTGGCAAGGACCCCCAAAAAAGTGTCTACATTAGTTCCATTTATGTTTATTCAGGGATAACATTATTGTCCTTAAACGCTGCAGGTTTCTCGTCATAAGAGAGGCATACGAAATGGACCAAAGGCGCTGAAACCTCAACCAGTTATTATCTGTTGCAAGTAAGGGCTTACAGATCTAATGCTTCTAGGGTTGAGTTGAAAACCAATGTTTCATAATTTTACCTGCCTTCAACTTTCATTATTTTACATGACCATGAATTTTTTCTTAAAAAAGAGTACTGTCTCAGACACAGTTTTGGGGATCCCAACTCCCATAAAGGAGCCATGTTTCTCCAATTGCAGCTGCTTTTATCATGTAACAATTTCAAAAGAGGTAAACATTGTAATTTTAGTTCAACTAACTAATAAACTGAAAAAATATTTGAAGGATGACTGTTAAGAGCTGTACCATACAAAATCAAAAAATGCAACTTGTTCAAACATGTCTTTCTATAGATGGAATTCTATTTTCCGTTGTAGTTTTCATTCTACAATCACGCCTTTTAGTTTTCTTTCTACATATTTATATACTAGGATAATTTGTTGGAGCTGTTGTTTGTTTCTGAATCATTTGACTGTAACACCTTTTGCTAATTTGTAGGGTTTGTGGCCGAGTCAAATTACCACACTTCTTTTGTTGTGGCGGGATTAGGCAAGACCCAGAGCAGTAGAGAATATCATGTCATATTTGCGAAGGGATGGTTAAAGCACGGAGAACTCACGAGAAAATCTGCATGTTTCCTTTGTATACATCGCAGAGCCTGCACTTTGATCTTTAACAGCTCACAGTTCCTATCTTTGGCAAGTTGAGCATTTTTTCACATTATTCTGTCAAGATCATCCACTGGTGTTTGAATGGTGTGTGCTTACTTCTTAGTAGATTCTCAAAGCAATAGATTTGTTTAACTTCCAATGAAAAACATAAAATATGTCCATTTGATTGTTTATCACAATAAAACGGACTTGTTTTTAAAATCATTATTTTTCAACAGAAAGAGAAAGCCAACTTTTTTCCGTGCATTTTTTCTCAATCTGATTTGACATTACTAGTTGTCTATAGATGCAATCTGTAAATGGTCCTTTCCCACTTTTTGGACTGACAGATAAGCGGGAATTTCCCGTTCTTCCCAAAACACAAAGACTCTTTTCCATGGGAGTTTCAATTTCTCTCCTTATGTTATGGCACATCCTCATCACTTATGTTAATGGGACGAAGGTAGTTGTTAGCTTCTTCATTTTAGTAAAATAATTTCCTGTTAAACTAATGTGTATAATATTAGTAGTAGTAGTAGTGAAAATTGTGTCGCAACACAACCCAAAACCACAACTTCTAAAGTCGCAACACAATTGACAAAATGGTAAAAAATCTATTTCACTATGAGATGGGAGCGGGAATTTGGATCCTCACCACCGCCTATTTTAGTAATGTTGTCCTCACCTAACACAAACACATACACCACCAAGTGACATTATCCACCACTAATGGATGCTGTCATCATTGAACACCACAACCAACCACTAAACATCATCTATTGCCACCAACTCAAAATATTCGATCTTGTGACACTTAACCATCATAGTCACTACCGAAGTTACTTAAATTTCTCTCCACATCATACAATGTATGCTCCATTTTGTCCTTTCCCATTCATGGTCCTCCAGTTATCCAAGAACACCTTGGGTTGTGTTCTGGAACTCAGAACGCTATATGGGAAGTTCTAGCATCAATTCCAAAAAAAATAGGAAAAACGGGGAGGGTAAATTCCCAAAAAACTCTGGGAGAGTGGGATGTTAAAAAATGGAAGAAGATTAATGAATAAGAAACTATGGAAATCCTCAAAAAAGAAACGGGACATAAATAAGATGGATAAGGCGATGAACTTTGCATGAATCCATATGAAGAGAAGAGACACTGCCACAGAAGACCAGAGGAAGATGAAAACTGTGCACATCATTGCAAAACATTAACTAGGTGTTTTTGTTAGCAAAATGGGGAATAACTTTTCTTTGAAATGAAAGGTTTTTATTTTATATTTGCAGCTTAAGTTTAGAGTGAACCAGTGAACTTTTTTATTCATCAGATGAGGGCAAAAAACAAACCTTTGTTGTACAATTGTCCCACAACAGAAATTTCCTATAATTCCATAGTGGTGCTTTAGTTTTAAAATCCTCACTTATAAAACTAATTTCAAATAAAAAAATCATTATAAACATCCCATTTCAAGGTTTATGACCACATTGCATATTAGAGACCTATTGATCCCTTTTAGAGTGTGCATCAAACATAAAACTAGAATGGATCTGTTGGCTCTATCCTTCCAAAATCAACGTGTTGACCGTGTTGCTCCTAAATTGACCCCAGTCACTATCTAGCTTCGAGAATTGACCTGCAAAATAATCACTAAAAAGAACTAAAAATATATTAGTGGCTCGAGACGCGTCAGACGCTGTCCTAAGGAATTATTTCCGGCGTACGGAAATTTCCCCCAAGATATAACGAGCCCTTCGATTATAAAACCGGTGCCAGAACTAATGAGAAGAAAACAATATATGAACCCAGTAATAAAAGTGTACTGTTCATTTGCCGTATGCTTGTATACACACTACATCACCGTATATACTTTATCATCTAGAAGTAAAGCATATACACACGTATACACCCTCTTAAAACACATATTTTCCCACCGTTGTGCACTATGCATCGAGTATATATACTCCTTACTCAAAGTAACGTTCAAGTATTAAATAATATATTAATTAATTATAATTAATAATGATAAATGATTCCCCATGCAGCCAAGCTAATTGCAAACGTATGTTTAGAAAACTACACTCATGAAAATGCTATTTTACTAAAGATTAATGACAGTAAACGTTACCTTAACATTATTACTAAAGATGATAAAACCAAAACACATTTATTACTCCCAATGTATTTTAACAATAATATTTTATTCATTTGAAATACTCTCAATAGAGTATAAAGCATCTCTGGTAACTTAGATCACCACTATTAGACATGAGCATCATGACTTAAAACATAAAACAAGATCAGATGTATGGCCATTCAAATTTCCGAGTTTCAGTTAATGCGCATTCTGCAAACAAATCAATAGCATTACTATTCAAAAAGCAAACTAATGAATCTTTGTTACTTCCTCCGTAACTTTAAAATCTTCCCATTTGAAAAGTAGGTAGATTAAGAATAGTGAAAGAGGATATGAATTATTGAGGGTATGATGGGAAGATAGTGGAATAGTGTGATGGAAGTAAGGATAAATAAAAAAAGTAGTTGTAATAGTGTATTATTTTTAAAATTATTGAGGGTATGATGAGAAGATTTATAAATGATAAGATTTTTTAGTTACAGACTAAAAAATCCGAAAAAGGAAAGTGAGAAGATTTTTAAGTTACGGATGGAGTATTAGTCCTATGTTGAAAGAACCGGACCGGACCGGGCGGGTCGACCCGGAACCCGGTCACCCGGCTCCTGATCCGGTCCGGTTATGCTCCAGCCCGCTAAGTTGATAAAACCCGGAAAAACCCGAGTGACCCGGGTAGAACCGGGACGCACCCGGAAGCCCGAACCGCATAAACCCATTAATTTTTCAAAAACCCGGAAAAAGGACCGAGTTGTCACCTGCGGGAATCGAACTTGCACTGCTAGGAAGGAGTTTCAGCTTTCTTTCCACTCGGCCACCGTCACTTGTTGGTAAAATGTATAGCTTTCGCTGTTATATTCCATATTACGTGCATACCATTCATTAACATTAACTAATTAACTAACTAAACAATTCATAATAACAACAATAATAATGCATATATATTATACGGACTATATTATATTCCATATCTCAATTAAATGTGAGAATATATTTACATTATATTTTAATGATTTTGTAATTGATGTTATATCTATATTTATTATCCACCTACATCCACATCTATTTTAAATTTTATTATAAAAACCAACTCTAAATAATGATTTCATAATGGCTTTATGTTGTATCATAATTATTAATTTATGAAAGAATAACATTAAAATTTAATATTATATACATATAAATATTAAATATTAAATGTGTGTGTGAGTTGACCGGGTTTTCCGGTCGTTGACCGGGTTGACCCGCCGGGTCCGGGTTGACCCTTGACCCGACCATCGCTCCGGGTCGCCCTCCGGTCCGGTTCTTACAACATAGAGTATTACATTGCATAAAAATCTGTACTTCTAGATGTCTAAGCAGGGGCAGATCTAGCGTGGGGGCAGGGGTGCAGCTGCCCCCACTCAACCCCTCCCAAACCCTATATATATATATATATATATATATATATATATATATATATATATATATATATATATATATATATATATATATATATAGAGTGCTCTTCTCATCAGGTCGGCCTGACGGGATGCTCCGTCCGGCCGAGCCCATTTGAGCACCTTCCCGGTGGAATTTTTTGATGAATTTTTTTGAGCATGTTCCCCATCAAGTCTAGTTTGTCCATACCAAATTTCAGCTCAAAATTCGATCGGGAAGGCATTCAAATCATTTTTTGAAGTTGACTGCTTCAAAATATACATATAAAACTGCAGTCAACTTCAAAAAATGATTTGAATGCCTTCCGATCGAATTTTGAGCTGAAATTTGGTATGAACAAACTAGACTTGATGAGGAACATGCTCAAAAAATTTCATCAAAAAATTCCACTGGGAAGGTGCCCAAACGGGCTCGACCGGACGGAGCAGCCCGTCAGGCCGGCCTGACATGAACATTCCTCTCTCTATATATTTAATTTATAATTATATACGTAGTATATGTTTGTTGGCTTAATACGAATATTATACTACGTACTTATTTTGTATGAGACAAGAAACAAAAACGGCCATGGTTCAGCCGAAAAGGTAGCCGCATGCGCAGCAATCCTCCTTCACATCATGGGTTTGAAACCCATCTCGTTTCCCTGTTACAAACGTTAGTTTTTTTTTTATCAAATTTAAAGTACATGTACATACATACCAATTTTTCTTAAGTTTGAGTGATTTAAACTAGTTGATTCTAATTTTCTTTTTGCACGTACTTTATACAGTTACATTTTTATTTGCATGTAATTTATACAGTTTGGTAATTATATTTTTAAACTTAGATTAAACTGATATAATTGTGTGTGCATAATTTACATGAAGTTTAATTACATATTATTTGTCTCTTATTCAATTCATTTATAAATTAAAAACTTTGTGACTAATTTATTTTTAACAAAGTGAAATTTGGTAAACACGACTTCATGTTTTTTTCGAATGGATATTTTGTTATCTATAACTAATTTCAGAATATATTTCTTAAAGTGTTAAACTATTTATGGCATGTGTCAGAAAATATTTAGTGAGAGTTCGTTCTCACTCAGGATAATTTCTGGATACGCCACTGAGTTCGTCCAAAATTGCATGGACTGGCTGCTACTTCATAACAAAGAAGCGCAGACAATTTGGTGAGCCACTTTGCTTTATTACATCATATTTTCAAACCAAAAAATAATGAATCTTTGAGTTCATTATAAATGATGGAAATCTTTTAACAGTATATATAATCAAATTATTATGTATAAAATGTTATTAAATTTTTATTACCGTAAACTTCCAAAATATCAACTTTTTTTAATTTTTACTAATTTGTAATTTGTAATTAAATATAATTACAGTCAAATTGTGTTTCAAAGTATTTTGCAACTTTTAAAGAAGTGAAAGTATTTAGACAGATGTGTCCACTCTCCCACATCGGTGTCTGCGAAATCTTCATCGACATCGTAAAGAGAGCACGGCCCTGTCGAGATCTTCCTCCCCGGCGAAGTTGCAGAGTCGAGTGAGTAGCTTCACAGGTCTCCGGAAATCAGGTTTGACGGTCCAACTACATCACATCAAGGAGAGAGATTTTCTTCACCGGAATGATCCTCAAGGTCGGTGACTATTCTGGTTCAACTCTAGAAGACCAAAATTTGTGATTATAGGATTTAGAGTAATATACTCCGTAGCAGTGAAGGCATGGGTTCTTAGAGATTACCGTATGAATAATTTTTGGGAAGAGAAGCAACGGGGTAGTTCAGGAATTAAAATTGCATTTGTGACCGTCTAAAGAGAAACGCTTGCTTCTATAGCGTTATATTCCAGCCATTTTTTTCCAACTTCAGCTCAATGTAGCTTGTTGTTCGAACAATCTTCTATTATACAACAATAGGAGAAAAACTGTCCAGAATTCCCGCTCAAAAACGTCCAATCAACAGGCCGGGTCGGGTCTCACGCGTGTAGGGTCGGGTCTGGCAGCTTATTCAATGCTATGTTCTTTTAATTTGGAGAATTTGCTTAGCGGGTGCGGCTGAAATTGCTTGGCAATAAATGCATGCTCAATTACCAATAAAGCAATTGTGAAGCTAAAAAAAAAGTACATCAAAGATGGGCTGCACGTTTTACAATGGAGAAGAAAGGACTAAGATTAATTTTAAAAAATGGGTCAGGGTCACTTCGAATTAATGAGTGTGTACTTCAAAATCTTTAATTGTCATTCAAAAATCTTAATGGCTGAGTTTAAATATATTTTCGAAATGGTGGTAGCTGTATTGTACATTTAATGAATGTACTATAAAATCTTTGGAAAAGATTTTGTTAATGGACCAATGGTCAATAACATATTTGTTTTTGAGAAACCACACCATTCCCCACCTATATATACAGTCAAAATGGGTTTCAAACCACACCACCACCAAGCAATTCACAAGTAAAACGAGCACCCCATCTGCTGCAATGGCATGTTCATCAACCCAAACCGGAATGTGGTCCCTGATCAAAGACATTGATCACACAAAGACCACCTGGGCTTTGAGGGTAAGAGTTGTACGAGTTTACGAGGTTCCTCCCCATTCCAAGGGTGGAGAGACCCTTGAGATGGTGCTGCATGATGCAGAGGTAAAGACCTGAAACATTGTGCTTCAGCTACATGTTTACAAAGAAATTAATTTTTTACTAATTTCTTTATAGGGCGATCGAATTCACGCAACTGTAAAGAGGCCACAGCTGGCAATGTATAGACCGTTGATCAAAGAACACCATGTGTACGCACTCAGGAACTTTTTGGTGTTGGACAACTACCAGACAGTGAAAACAACTACACATCCTTATTTAATCCAGTTCATAAGCAAGACTGCATTCAGGGAAGACAAAACTGAACTACCTATGTTTTTGTATGACTTTCAACATTTTGGGTTGCTTCAAGAGCAAAGGGTGATCAATGACAGACATCTCATTAAGTATTTTTCCCTGGAGTAGTACATATGCTGACTTTTTACATTGCAGATGTGATCGGTAAGGTCGTATGCAGAAGCATGGTTCAAACACACATCATCAATGGAAAGGCTGAAAGATTGATGGAGCTAACATTGGGTGACCCTGAGTATGTTTATTTTTTTTAAATGTATCCTAAAACTGATAGTGAACAAACAGCTTTTGATGATCCTAACTTTGCATTCGTATCTACATGACAACAGAGGCAACAGACTTGGTTGTGTGCTGTGGAATAAATATATAACCCAGTACATGGATTATGCAACCCAGCATCTTGATGAAGCAATTTACATAATATTTCAGCTTTGCAGGCCGAAAAGATATCAGGGTATGAGGAATTTTCTTCTATAATTTTGTTTTGGCAGAATGATTATTTTTTCGACTAAAACAATTGCAAATATTAGGTGCCCTATCTGTGTCATCTTCTTTTGATGTGTCAAAGCTGATCATTAATGGCACAACGTCCGAGTTTCTGGACTTCATAAGCGAGTAAGCCTCTAACTTTATTCAACTCTAAAGTCCGAATATAGAAATAGCCCCTAAAATCTAATGGTCGCAGATTTCCGGGTGACGGTGATGACAATATGACTGGAACGACTGTCACACAAACCACACAAGGTGATGAAAGTGGGGATGACATTCTAAGTGGGAATGCAACCATAACCACCCTGAATGCTTTGCTTAACACAACTGAGGTGATGACATTTAATCTAAGAATGGAATTCTCTAATTGTTTCAAAGATTAATACAAAATGGTGCTTACATGTGTGTGTTCTAACATACAGGAAGGGTTTTACTGGGTGCTTGGAGACATCGTCTCCATAGAGAATTTCCGAGAATGGTGTTATCTCGGCTGCCCAACTTGCAACAAAAAATTGAAACCTGAGGAACAAAGGTTCAGGTGTTGTAATTGTAATGAGACCCTCGCTGAGGGAGTTTATCGGTGGGTAAATGTTTGAAGTCAGCTTAAATACTTTGTACAACTTCGAGTTGCTCAAGTTTTAACACGAAAAATATTGCAGCTACAAGGTCAGCATTTGTCTCATGGACAATTCAGGACAAGCTCCATTTACCCTGTGGGACAGAGAATGTATTGATTTCTTTGGGAAAACATCAGGAACCTTGATGCTTGAATTGGAGAAGGTATCTTTAAAAATAAATGATTTTAAAGCTTTTGTTTATTCATTCCGAAATTTGATCAATTTAATTTTGCGAAAACAGAAAACTGGAGACACAACACGCTTTCCAGAAGAGATTGAGAGTTTGATTGACCAAAAAGCACTTTTCAGAATTCAGATTAAGAAAAGATCTGAAGAAAATACTTACAAGGGAACTTTTTCTATGGGAATTGTATCAATGATTCGGACCGCCTCTGTGGTTGCATTGTACGTAGAGGATGAGAAGGAACAAATAGCCAAAGAGGATACGACCCCAGAGAAGGTAAAAAAACCATAAACGTGAGCTGTTTCGTTTAGCATAGCAGACACTGAACGTCAAAGTACTTGATCTCCAGGTTGGCTCAAGCGCAAGCATTGGCGAAAAGATAGCAAGGAAGGGTAAACGGGTTTCAGCTGAGAAAGAGGTATAAACTTAAAGCTATTTTACAAATGCTAGAATAAGGTTTTCGGTGTACCATTCTAACAGTTTTTTAAAAACTAGGACGATGCTACTATTGACCTACCAGATACTCCACCAGAATGCACACAGAGGGAGGTTGAGGTTGAACTGACTGATGAAATCAAACGTAATCTGAACGATGAGTTCTCTACCAATGGAAAAGTGAAGAAGCTCAAGATGAAAATCAAGCAGGAACCCGGTGTTTAGGGAATCTAAGGAGTGATTTACTAAGACATTGTTTAAAAAACCTCTTTTGCTGTTTTATGGCTGGGTGTGCCTAAGCTACTATTTTGGATGTGTTCAAACACTAGCACAAAGACACTCCAAATTTGGGAGGAAAGACTATTTGTTGCTTTAATTATCTATGTTTTGTGACCAGGGTTGTTCATTGAACAAATCCTACTGCGTTTACAGGGTGCTATGTGTATGTATATTGATTAGATTTGCAGGTTCATCAAGTTGAAGTGTCTTACGAAAATAGGGAGGCATACTCATGGTGTTTGTAAATAAAAATGGAATAGATTTCTTATCATGGTTTTTTATACAATTTTAACTGTTTTTCAGGTAAATAATGTTCAGCCAGAAATGAACGCAGTGCCTGGAGCGACCACGACTGAAGAATGGGATAAAGAGATACGAAGTTGTGCATTGTTTAGCTAGACTACAATTGTATTAGGGATGTTTTGTACCTACTTTATTTAACATGGAATAAAGTTCCTTTTTAAAATGTTATTATTCTAAGTTTCGCAATGCTGGCATATAATAATGATAATAATGGAAGAAGTGTTAGATGAGTTCGTACCTGGGCCTTATGTTGAGCATACCTGCAAACCCTACTCATACCAAATTAATATTACAAACCCTTATGAATATTACATATTGTGGCAACCATCTAAGGTCCCAAAACTAAACCTAATACAGTGGTTTCTAACTACTCTTCAAAAGTCCTCATGTGGAGGCAAAGTGTAACTGCAAGAATAATTGTTATTGCATTAGAAAGGTTGAAATAATAAGTGCAGATAACATTTTATAAAAACGGAAAGAATATTTAAGACAGGATGAGTCTAAGTGATTGTTTTTATTTTCGAGTTTAAGTAATATTGCTGGGAAAAGTTTACTTAAACAATAATTTTAAAAAATACAGAATAGTGAATAGGTTTTAATCATCAAAGGCTTGGTAAAACACAGCCCAGAATAAAAAAACAATATTTTAATTCAAATTCGGTACTATTTTGCTGCTTTTTTTTATTAATTTTCCTTATAAAAACATTTTTTAAAATTCTACCAACAATAAATACAAATAAATTCATATGAGTACAAAAGTATGAATGCCTTAGGAAGTATATAAAATAGGTAAGAATTGTGGTATTAAAAAAATGTATTAAAAATGTATGAAGCGCAAGTAATTTCCTCCACATTTAAACATGTAACCGATCTACTTCACTAAACAATTTAATTGTCTTCGACAAGATTAATTGAAAATGATAAAATCTGCTTTTACTGCGTTTACAAAATTTTAATTTTAAAGTCTAGGAATTTTTAGAAACAACTGTTTTACTTTTTAGTTTAACACAAATGCTCATGAAAACCTTTAAAATTGTGAAGTACATGGTGGTTAAACAGGAATTTTGGGCAATTTATTTTAGCCCTAATGTTATTGCCGGGTATTAAAGATTTTAATTACCAAGGCTTCCAAAGGGCATATTTTTTGTGATGTTAAATATTATACATAAAAAAAAATACCCGGAAGAATAATTGTTACTGCACTAGAAAGGTTGAAATAATAAGTGCAGATAGCATTTTATAAAAACGGCAAAAATATTTAAGTCAGAATGAGTCTAAGTGATTGTTTTTATTTTCGAGTCTAAGTAATTGTTGAGAAAAGTTTACTTAAACTCTACTTTTAAAGATACAGAATAGTAATTGGATTTTCATCCATAAATAAAGCATAGTTATTGGAATTGTTATTTCAGAAGTTAATGACAAGGGCAGAATATTTTAATAAGCCAAAAATGAATACTCACGAAATATAATTTAAGTTCATTACATATTAAAAAAGAAATCATAATTTGATAACAAAGTTAATTTTTAACTTTAAATTAAAAGTGCATGTCATTTTTAACTTTAATCATCAAAGACTTGGTAAAACACAGCCCAGAATAAATGGTTACAGAATAGATAATAGAAAATGGAGCCCAGTGATACAGAGAGGACCAACTTCGGTTTTAAAAAAGAGGCTGTGTCATTTCGCATTTATGAAACTGTACTACAAAATCCTTGAATGTCATTTCGATATCCTGATGGTTAAATTAAAAGAAACGTGTAATCAATGCTCACATTAAATGAACATTGTGGTAGGATGGTTTAAATGAACACAGCATCGAAATGATTACAAAAAAAGATCCGATGCAAGATTTAAAAGTAAGTAAGTAGTACTTTAAAACCATTTTAAAACAAAGTCATAAATGCAAGGAAGCATTAGTGTGGCGTGTAGGTCTGCACACATTAAATGAACACAGTAGCAGGATATCCATCCTAGGATGGCGAGCAGATCTGCTCATTAAATGGGAATGGACAGTAGGTAGATATCATAATATATTGTTGAACTTACCAGTGGTCAAGAACCAATTTTGGAAGCTGAGTACATAAATACCATCGTAGGAGCATTTACTCCATGCTCAGAATCTCATTTACTCCCCTCAACCACAACATCTAACCCGAGCATTGGTGGTGCATTTTTAGAGTATACAGTGTGACCAGTGAGTGCTCCAAAATTACCAAAGGTATGATTTCTACTATGATATGTAATCAAAATACGATATGTGCATATGATAAATGCTTGATGCCTACTATTATGAACATTCATGAAAGCAGTTGTAATGCTATGACTTTATAATAATTGAATGACATATTTTAACTATCTCATTTAAGATGAGATGCTGTTCAGGCACAAACTGTGAAAAGCCAAAATGTCATGCGTGTGGCAAACACCCTGGGCTCTTTCGGTTGAAACTATGCTTTGGGTGTAATGCAAACTTGAGTCATTTTTACTGCATGCAGCCTCTAAACAAGAAGAGGTATACAGGGAAATACATATGCATAGAATGTCAGGATTTGGTAAATGCAGACACTGATATACCTAGAAGATCAGGTCGGATTGTGACATTGAACCAGAAGTACTTCAATGAAAACATGTGTGTGGGGATGAGTTTTGGTTGGCTTAACATGGCATGACTGTAGTAAAGCATTGCTGTCAATGACTATGACTAATGTTTTTGTTGGATATGTAAGATAGATAAACTGTTTTGTTTTTTGCAAATTGTGTGGGTTGTATGTACTCATGCAATGCTAAATGATGATTATTGTAGTATGTTGTGATTGAATTGTTGTGCAATGGTGGAGGTGGATCCAGAATGCATGTGCTAAATGATGTTACTTCACTTAACAGATGTTTCAAGATCTATATGGTTTTAAATTGCTTGAAAAAGATTTCAGGACCTACTGTGATTGTATTACACATTACATAATAGGACAGTTAAGAGAAGAGATTGAGATGATATTGAATTAGTTACTCTGGGGTTACATGTTTTCAGGCCAACGGACTGCCAGACCACGCAGTTCCGAAGGCCACTTTGGTGGCTGGCAGGGTATCTGGCAGCCCTATGGGATGGGCCATAAGAACAAGCAACCACCATAAACAAACCAAATGATAACTTATTAAAATGAAAGCAATAAAATGAAACAAAACATTTTGAAAGAAAATGAATTCACAGGTTAGCATAAAAATGTTCAAATTTTAGTTTAGATTTAAAAGGTCCATCAGTTGAATTTTACAAGATGCCATTTCCATTTTTAATAACAGATCTTCAATGAAGAAGATCACCAAAAGCACAACAATCAACCGTAAAAGAAGTCATGAAGACTCGATCAACAAAGGTAGTTTTATATTCATAAATTTGCTATTTATTTCTATTGCAATATTTCTTGATCTGATTAACAATTTCGAAGATGTTCCAGACTACAAGGCAAGGGTTCTAAAAAAATTAATTGTTGAAATAATTCGTACCGTTTTCTGAACAAAATAAAGAAATAAGATTACAAAGACTCGACACAGGCTGAACAGATTCAAATTTCAGCTGTTTGAAGATTAATAATCAGCCAAATACAATTATTTGACCGAAAAAAGTTCTTTTTCAGCAAAATTAGATTTTTTAAGGCATCTCACGTACAAGTGAAAATAAGTAATGGATAATGAGGTCTGAAATCATTTACTGTAGCTAAACCTTCATAGAAAACATAGACACATGTGCAAAACGTAGTTCGTTGAATCGGTGAACACAAGTTCAAGGCAACAAACTTAATATCTGAGATGCTTGGATATCACTCAGTCTTCGCAAATCAAAATCCCCAAAAAAACACAAACTACATGTAATAGCAAAACGAACAAAAAAAATAACGAATCTGAGATCCTTTCATGATAATCCCTCAGATTTCATAAAAAAAGGGCTTTGAAAAGGCATTATCATATAATAGATGACATGCACGCCAAATTTACAACATAGTTTAAAGAATAAACAACAGATCTAAGAAAATCAGAACGTTTCTTTTCAAATCGTAAAGATCTATTTAAAATTTGGAATCTGTCAACAGAAGTCGGATACAAGCGAAAAAACATAAACAATAACAACCACAGAGATCATTGTGTATCACTCATGGTTCGTTAGAAATGAAATGACAAAATAACATAATGAGAAAGGAATACCGATACGTAGAAACAGGGCCTGAGAAGCTGAGAAGCTGAGATCGCAGCTCAATCAAACAAGGCGCCATCATCCAAAGATGTAACTCATTTGGGTCTGTATGGTTTTTGCTGAGCCTCAGGCCACGTAAGGATGGAGGAAGAAGAATGAACGGAAAGGCGGTGAGAAGCGTATGTAATACGCAGGTTTAGTGAGAGAGGATGACCGATGGTCTGCGGGTAAACCTGCAGCGTAAATGGTTTACACAGGGGGTAATGGGAGTATATATAGGTGGGATTAGGTTTGGTTGTTGGGTTGGGTTTGATTTCTAATGGGTCGAGATTTGAATTGATGGTTCAATTTCTGGGCTAACAGGTTTGATATTTAATGGGCCGGGTTTGTGAATTTGTTTTTTTAAACAAATTAGGATTAGGATAGATTATGCATTATTTTTTTTATTTAAGTATAAGTATATAGTATAATTATTATAATTTAAACTATAATTGTTATTATAATAATTATTATTATAATACATAGAGATAGAAAAAAAATATTTCCATCAAAATTGTTATGACTATTTACGGTGAATATTAGCATAAAAACATTGCAACAATATCTTACAAATATTGGTC